TTTTTTTTCTATTTTTACTTGTTTGTCTGTGGAGCAGGCAAGAGAAAATCTGACAGAACGCACCCCTTTTTGGGTTCTGGGTACCAGAGACTTTTCATGTGTGATTTCAGTTTTTTCTCCGCTCGTTGCTTTGCTAAGTCTGACATTTCAAAGGAGAGCTTTTGCTTAAACTTACTTCCTGGAGCTACTATCTTGTGACAGATAATATATAAGAATGTAAACTATACTTAAATGCGCAATAGTTTTTCCTACTTTTTCTTGCCTTTCGTAACAGCCTACTATTAGACTGCAAGGTAGTGCGTATTCAGTTTGCATTGTCAAGTGCCCGTGAACAGTGAAAGAAAGGTCTGGAGCGAGGCTGAAAACGGACGCCGGCACTTCGCACCTTGAAAAAACGTTTCTGAGAGAAAAATCAACCGTTTTGCGATCTGGTCTGCTATGGAATGCTTTGGCAAAAGGTCATTTGCACGATTGTGCCACTTTACGACCACGACCAGAATCCTTTTGGTTTTTCTTTTTATATTTAAATCTGGTTATTCTCAAAAGCCCTAATTTGCACAAGAAAGAAAAACTCTGAAGGATTCTGGTCTTAGTAATAAAATGACGTCATGGTGCAAATGGCCAATTGAAACGAAGCTACAAAACTTACCCAAGAAAACCAACCCAAAGTTCCCGGATCCAAGGTCCCGGATGTACTCTACGCTGCTGAGAGGAACTTGACGCATATCATCCGGGTTAAATAGACTCAGGACTTTGCTCTCGTCCAGGGCGCGAATGGTTTCCGCTCTTATTCTGTCTCTCATGGACACGGCTGTGAAAGTGACGCCCTCGAACCCTCTCGCCACTTTCAGCGGTTTGTTGCGCCTGCGCCGTTCACAAACGAAGAGTGTGATAACTACGATGATAAATACGACAGTACCAGCTACGGCTCCAGCGAAGAGAGACGTTTTCAACTTGTTTGTTGACGGATGAGGGGAAGGCGTGAATACTACGGGAAGGTAAAAATAAGTCTATCACTGTTGAAAGCAATTCGCGAGGATTTAAAGTGTTTCATCCAGGAAAGGCGAGTGATTTTTTGTTTTGTTTGTGCGTTCTATTTTATTGTTATTATCATCATCATCATCACATATCACCACCATCATAATCATTATTAGTGACCTACGGGTACGTACGGGAAAACGAACATGTTTGCCTCGTAGTTTTATAAAAGGCAACTATTACTTCCCAGATGTGATAATGGCGTAACCATTGATTCTACCCGGTAGCCTACCCGTTTCTTCCGGGTAAGAGGCAATCTAGCCGTATTTACTGCTACCTGTACGGCTAATTTACCCGTACCCGTACACAGAAATGGAGTATCTTAAGGTCTCTAATATTATTATCATTATCATTGTTATTATCATTATTATTATTATTATTATTATTATTATTATTATTATTATTATTGTTAGTAGTAGTAGTAGTAGTAGCAGTAGTAGTAGCAGTAGCAGTAGCAGTAGCAGTAGCAGTAGCAGTAGCAGTAGCAGTAGCAGTAG